GCCCCCCCCCCCGCCACTCACGGACAGCACTGGAGCAAGGGGAGCAACAGCCTCAGCTCATTTTCCTCCCCCAGCTGCATCGCTCCACTTCCTGCCAGTGAGTGTGGGGCAGTGCCACCTCCCCAAGCAACACGGACAGAAGAACTCAGTGAGCTGGAGCCACTGATCCATTTGCCCCGTCACTGCCAACGGGGGTGCGTGTGGGGGTCACTGTTGTGGGCACCAGACCCTCCCACCAGCCCCCACCGCTGCTGTCTGTGCCCCCCCACCGCTGCTGTCTGTGCCCCTTCTATCCACACCATTTGGGGCACACGTGACCCCTCATGCTTCCCCACATGACCCCTGTGGTAGGACTAATGCATTATCCTAACCTACCCTAACCCCGCCTTCCCTCCCAATTTTTACTTATGCTGTTCCTGTCCACCACCTCATGGGCCCACCTCCAAGGCAGTGCAAGGGGTGGGGGCTCGGGTGAGGGTTAGGGTGCTAGATCAGTGAGGTTCAACCTGTAGTGGCTTCTGGGTGGGTGTATCAGGAAAACAAGTTGTAGAAACCTTAGACCAGGATTATCATGAGCTGCAAACGGGGCCACTAGGTTAGAAAAAAAAAAAATCAATGTCAGGAAGACGGCCGGGGCGAAGATAAGATGTGGTTTTTAAAGTGGCCATGCTGCTTTTCCGAACGGCAGAGGACACTGGGGATCTTATAACCTCACGTTGTGTTTCCAGTTTACTCGCACAGTTCTCGGATTTCAAGAAGAGGAAGTAATATCGGAAAACATTAAAGCTACATTAATTAGTTACACTGAGCAACTAAATGGTACTGTACTTGCCTCAACTGCAAACTTCATATCCATTAAAATTACAACACTTTATCAAACTGAATTACTAAGTGACCTCAGGGACAGCATTTCTGAACTGATAAAAGTTAATGTATTTATATGGCACATAAATCCTTAATAAATAACCCTTGTATGCAAGTCAGCATCATTTAGATACAAACACCATTTAAGGAACATAAAATCAGCATGCTGTATTTTTCTGCATATTAAATAACTGCTATAAAAGCTATCAAAATAAATCATGGAAATATAAAAAAGAGCCGGAGTATATTCTTCTTTCTAAAATCAAATATATTCTCAGTATTTCATTGCTTGTCTATGCATCTTAAACTATACAGTTTCAGTTAGATATACATAGTCTAGTTGCAACAACACTAAAATAATGGACCCTAAAACAGCCACTTGAATATGATTAGCCCATATACCAACAGCCTAACTACAATAAGCAAAGAAAAAGGTAGACTGCACAAGTGAGTGCTTGCTTAGTACCAACTGTCGCAAGGAATATTCTTCTACAATGGCTCTCAAACATGGGTTACACACACACACACACACACACACACACACACACACAGCAAGAGTAATTATTCATGGTGTAAAATCCTCACAACAGAGTCCATATATCTACTGTATTTTATGCTACTTGGCAGTGTAAAACAAAAGGGTATAATTTATTGAAGCCCAAGTCACTGGGACACCAACTGACAGGTTCTACAATCAAACACAGCAACCTGCTGACAATGCACATTGGACAGCCAAGCATACAAAAGGCTGTTGTTCTGAACTAGCCCCAGCATAGTGGCTGAACCAGTTGGCCCAGTACTTTATGCTGGTCTATGTTACAACAAAGACTTGCTATGACCTTACCATACAATTAGTATGTTGGTGTAGAATTACAAAGCTCTAAAAAGTCATTCACAGATGGATTTTAGTACTGCAATGCAACTAGTTGCTCTGTTTGTTTGTTTTTTAAGATTTAGGATTAGTTCCTTTATAGAACATTCAGGACAAAAAAAAAATTGAGGAACTAATAGTGCTACTTTTGTATGAGAATAAATTATACTTCCTATCGCTTATGAACATCTAAGGATTTACATTCTAAATATTCTATTAATATTACACAATAATCATTGTAGTTTACAATAAAAGCATAATGATGTGCACACAACAGCATGCATGCATACCATGAGACGGAAAAAGTCCCTGTCACTCCCAATGTCTACTTTAAGGTGGAGGTTTAATGTGTTGGCCAAATCAATCAGCAAGTAAGGGGGGCATAGCACAGCATGAGAAGCAAAAAATAAATCATTTTAGTTGTCCCAACTGCTGGGAACACTGACAAAAATAAATTTCTCTTCAAACAGAAGATAGGAAGGGTGAGAACAACAGGAAACTCATGGGAAAAAGAAGGGTGAACAGCCCGATGCTTGCCAAATAGGCCAAGAGAAGAGAGATTGAAATAAAAAGCAGAACCTGCAAAAGGATTCTTGAACATTCTCAAAACCACTATAAAGACACACATCTCACCTAAGAACTACTGTATGTTCTCCCTCAAACACACAATTCACCTGCTTCAGCACTAACAGAAGCGTTTAGGCTTTATGATACTAACTAGCCATCTAACTCTACAGCACTGATCCTGCCCCAGTGACATACTCTTAGTGAAAAGCTACTTGAAGACAGGCTCCCGTCTCATTGTTATATTTAAACAAAGAAATGGGTGAAGTAATGTTTTATTGGATCAACTAATAGGAAAGGTACTAACAGTATTACAGCTAAATAAGATCAGACTCTTTACCATAAGCAGCTGGCACATACTAAGGTGAAACAGCCTTGAATAGCCCCATAAAAATGTGCCATTTCTTTCCCTCCTTTCATTCCATGGACTTCCTATTTCAATTCATATGGTTTTCAACTGCCCTTGTAAACCATGCACCTGCCACCTCTGCCCAACAGCATAAATGCTAGGCTGTTGACCAGTCTGGTGATGAGCCATATGAACCCAACTTGGACAATCCTGCAGTATTTCATGAGTTCCAAAACATTCACAGAGCAGCTTGTCACATTGGACCATCGATACTGGGCTAAGGACACATGCACTACGTGATAGGATTGTGTCGGGATGCTTGTACGGGATGAGGAGTAGCAAGTGAAGAACTTCTGGATGCACAGATCCATCTTCGTGAAACTATGTGCACAGCTCGCCCCAACACTGTGGCACAAGGACACTGAAATGAAACCTGCCTTCACTGTGGTCAGCATGTGCACACTGTGAACTTCAGACAGCTACCGGTGAGTTGCCAATCAGTTTCGGATTGGCAAGTACACCATGCAGATCGCAGTGATGCAAGCATGCAGGGTCATTCATCGCCTCCTGCTACAGAGGACTGACTCTTGATAATGAAATAATTGATGGCTTTGAGGCAGAGGGATTCCCTAATGCGGCAGGGAGACAAATGGAACTCATATCCTAATTCTGGCCCCATATCATCTTTCAACACTATATATCAACTGAAAGATACTTCACACTGTGATCTCACAGGCCCTAGTGGACCACTGTGGCCATTTCACTTCACTGACATCAATAGGAATGGGGGGGGAGCAATTAGGGAGCGTGCATGACACGTGCATCTTTTGGAACATTGGATTGTATAGAGCGCTACATGCTGGGACTTAACTTTGAACAAATTAGGGAAATGCAACCTAGATGGAGTTCCTGTATGATGGGTGCAAAACTGGTTGGAAAAAACATTGCCAGAGAATAATCATCAACACTTCACAATCAGCCTGGAAGGGCATAATGAATGGGGTTCTGCAGGGATCAATTATGGGGCCAGTTCTGTTCAGTATCTACATCAATGATTTAGGTAATCATCTTATAAAGTTTGCAGATGATACCAAGTTGGAAGGGGTTGTAAGTGCTTTGGAGGAGTGGGTCCTAATTCAAAAAGATCTGGACAAAATGGAGAAATGGTCTGAAGTAAACAGGATTAAATTGAATAAGGACAAATGCAAAGTATTCTACTTAGGAAGGAATAAGCAGCTGCACATATACAAAATGGCAGAGGACTACCTAGTAAGGAGTGCTTCAGAAAGGGATCTATGGGCTCACAGTGGACCACAAGCTTAAGATGAGTCAACAATGTGATAGTTACACACACACACGGATGTATTAACAGATGTATTGTAAGCAAGACACAAGTAGCAATTCTTCTGCTCTACTATGCACTCATTAGGCCTCAACTGGAATACTGTGTCCAGTTCTAGGCACATTTCAGAACAGATGTGGAGAAATTAGGGATGGTCCAGAGAAGAGAAATAAAAATGATTAAAGGTCTAGAAAACCTATGCATTCCCCACAGACAGCAGCCTCTGTCTGCAGCAGCCCAAGCTGATCCTTAGTCACCTGGGTCCCCACCCCTTTCATAGGAGCCTCCCCTGCTTCCCTCCCTTCCCCCCACGCTGCC